AGAATGGCCTTCAGAAAACTCAGGGCCAGTGCCAGCTAGGCAGTAATACCTTACAGGGCTGAGGCGAGGTCCTCCAGAAAGAAGGCTGTATATGCTGTGGGACCTGCTCCTCTCCCTGGGATTAAACCCTGGGCCCTCTCCTCTTAGCTCCTGGATGGACTCCTCTTCCAGGTGGCACTTCACATGGAGCCTTTGCGGCTCTCGCCCAAATGGGAGTAATGTCCGCCACAGGTGTGCCTGCCCTCCCCCGCCCCCAAGGAATCTGTGCCAAGTCAAGCTGACTTCTCTAAAACCCTCCAGCATCAAGAAGTCTTAGACCTTGCTTCCCACCAGGCAGGCACTCTCTCCTTGTCCTGTCCCCCGGCTCCCAGCTCCTGGCAGTACTTTTTCAACCAAGTTGCCTCTTTTCCATCTGCCTCTTTGCCCAGGGACCGACAGTCACCCAACAAACGACCCGAGGCAGAAGGGAGCCTGGGAGGACTGAGGAGACAGCGGTGGCTGCGCCCAGCAACGGGGTTCTCTAACCAATCCCATTCAGCCCGGTCTTAACCCCTGCCGCCCACCCCGCTCCGCGTTTTAACCTAACCGCTTCCCGGCAGGAGTGTGGTAGACCATTTCCCCAGAAATTTTACGGGTAGTCCCCAAACCTTGTCCTCGCCCACTCTGGGAGGCGCCCCAGCGCCAAACCACCAGCTAACTCTGGCCAGGCCGTATTTCCTGAAATATTTCAATCTTCTCTCTTGCCCATTTTCCCTTCTTCACCCCATTCTCCTGGCCACCCTGTCTTTTCTGTCTTCATTCCCACTTTCCAAATCATCCCTTCTCGTGGTCAGAAAGTATAAACTTCCAGTTATAAAATTAAGTCATGGGATGTAATGTATAACATGGTGCATAAATATAGTTAATAATATATAAATATTGACTTGTACACTTCAAAAAATATGTTATATGTCAGTAGTATCTCAATAAAAAGCTTTAAAGGAAAATGAAAAGAAGGGATGATTCTTTTTTTGGTGGTGGAGGGGTGGGATGATACATTCTATGCCTTCTGTTATGGGTTGAATTGTGTTCCCCCAAAACTTATGCTGAAGTCCTAACTCCTGGTCTTGAGAATGTGATTTTATTTGGAAATAGGGTCTTCTTTTTTTAAGATTTTATTTATTTATTTGAGAGAGAGAGAGAGAACGAGTGGTGGGGGAGGGGCACAGGGAGAGGGAGAAGCAGGATCCCCGCTTGATCAGGGAGCCTGATGCGGGGCTCGATCCCAGGACCCTGGTATCAGGACCTGAGCTGAAGGCAGATGCTTAACCGTCTGAGCCACCCAGGCGCCCCTGGAAATAGGGTCTTTGCAGCTGTATCCACATGAAGAGGAGGTCCTTCGGGTGAAACATCATCCAGTATGACTGCTGTGCTGGTAAGAACGGACCAGAGACAAACAGTGAGGAGGTCAGTGCAGACACAGAGGCAGGGAGGGAAGCCGGCCCTGTGACAACGGAGACAGAGATCAGAGTGTAGCTGCCCGAGCCAAGGAATGCCAAGCATGGCAGGCAACATCCAGATGTCGATGCCTTGCTCTCAATCTTCTAGCCTTCAGAACTGGAAGAGAAGAAAATCGTGTTTTGTATTATTTTTTCTTTTCGAAGTTATTTTTTATTGAGATATAATTGACATACAACATTATATTAGTTTCAGTGTACAACGTGATGGTGGGATATTTGTATATATTGTGAAATGGTCACCACAATAAGTCTAGTTTTAAGATCCACTCTCTCAATAACTTTGAAATATACAATACCGTTAACTACAGTGAGCATGCTGTACATTATGTCCACATGACTTTTTTATTTTACAATTGGAAGCTTTTGGCCATAAGAAGGGGATGATACTGATGGTAGAAATGAAGATGGAAAAGATAGGGTGGTCAGGACAATGGGTTGAAGAGGAGCAGACCGGCAGAATGAGAAAGGATTGAACTATTTCAGGAAATACGGCGGGGGGCGGGTCCTAGGGCGGAGTCAACCCTGTTCCGACAAATGTTCTGAAGCAGCGACGTAGAGCAGTTTTGCGGTGCCGGACTGCGGGAATGGCGTGGACTGGGGGCTCCAGCTTCAGTCTTGGCCTCCTGCTCTTGTTTTTCCTGCCAGTTCGTCCTACAGCAGGCTGCAGCCGTGAGTTCAGAGGTGGAACCTGGGGGTAGGAGCGGGGTGTTCGGGAGTGACCAATAAGACCCGGGAGGGGAAACGGTGTCCCCGGAGCGGTTCTGGAGCCTTCTCGCCCCATGGTGCTGAGTCCCCCTCCTCAATTCTTCTCTGCGGGCTGCTTTCTGCCTGGAGGGTGTCTGGGCGGTTGTGGGTGGGGTCGCCTGGGCCAGGAGAGGGACTGAAAACTGGCAGCTTCTGGGCGCCTGGGTGGCTCAGTCGGTTAAGCGCGGGGCCTCTTGGTTTGGGCTCAGGTCATGATCTCAGGATCCTGAGATGGAGTCTTACCTCGGGCTCTGTGCTCAGTTTGAGCCCTGTTTGAGATTCTCTCTCTCCCTCTCCCTCGGCCCCTCCCCTTCGCACTCTCTCTCTCTAAAATAAATAAATAAATCTTAAAAAAAACAAAAACAAAAAACAGGAAACTTCTTCAGAAGGTTCGGCCCGGCGCTGGGGGAGGGGAGCACAGCGGAGGGAGAGACTGTCCCGGCGGGAAATCTGTGGTCCTCCCCAGCTCCCGCCGCCTCCCCTTCTCTCCGAGCGGGAACCCAAGCCGCTGAGCCCCGGGCTCTGGGCAGAACTCAGGGGCTTCCGCAGGGAGGGGACGGCCAGACAACCCCGTGCCTCTAAGTCTCTTACACTGCTGTCCTGCATGAGTCACACGGCCGTCGACCGGGCCAATTGTGTATGTTGGACTTGCCGGTACACCCGGCCGTGTATTACCCGCCCCCCCCCCCCCCCCGCCCGCCCCGGGACGCCAGGCGCTCCGTCGCCTGCCGCACCCCAGCACCTGCCAGCTCAGGGTGGGCAGCTCTGATATCCTATGGCCAGAGACCTCCTCAGTCCGGGTCCCTCGACCATACATGCCCCCAGCTTCTTCTACACCGTGTAACTTTCCAGGCTGTGAGTGGCATTGCCTCTCTCAAACACTACGGCTCTCTTCCTGATAGTGCAGTCAGGATGTCACAAGGGCACATAGCTCGTTTTCCTACAGTACTCTGTGGCCCAAGGAGCTGGTCCAGCCTCACACATTCATCCCGAATTTCTATGGCTGCTTGCCTGCGACAACAGCACGTTGAGTAGGTACGACGGAGACCTATACAATATTTAATATATGCAGAGAATCTTGCACCAGACTGGCATTTCGATGAAAATAGAACAGGGTTCATTCACATCCTTGCATCCTGAGAGAGGTTTTAAGGTTGGTACTCATCTGTCGTTGCATCCAGGATAAGATACTCTTTTAACATTGTATTTGGAGAAAAGAGAAGACAGTGTGAGAATATTGTACTTGAATTTCCCTGCCCCCTAGCCCCCAACCCACTTCCTGGGATCGAGCCCTGCGTCGGGCTATCCGCTCAGTGGGAAGCTTGCTTCTCCCTCTCCCACTCCTCCTGCTTGTGTTCCCTCTCTGTCTCTCAGTCAAAATAAAGAAATAAAATCTTTAAAAATTAAAAATTAAAAAGAGAAGGATAATCTCCCTAGCTTAAAGTCAACTGAGTAGCCACTTTAATTACCTCTGCAAAGCCCCTTCATAACAGTACATAACAGATTAACAAATGTTAATCAAATTAACACTTGATTGAGTGACCAAGGAACATGACACTTTCAGGGAAACCTCAGAATTCTGAATACCACTGGGTATTAAAACTATTTTTGAACAAATAAAGCCTAAAGAATATTTTTCCCAGAAAGTTCCAACTTGAAAATATCTTTTGGATAAAGTATTCCAATAGTAAGAGAAACCCATCCAGGAGATGTAACAAGAGAAATAAGGAGAATGAGTAACCAATTTTGCTAAAATTTTTATTTGTTAAAGACAGCAACAACATTTTAAAATTCTTAATTTATTAGATTTCTGTTGCCTTAAAAAAGAGGGTGGTGTGAAGGGTCAGGGGAGTTTCTATCACAGAAAAAAAAATGTATAGCAACAACTCAGAAATAAAAATCTGGGTAATATCAGGGAAATGGGGTGGGAGGAAGCACACAAAATAGATATGGAAACATGCTAAATAATTTTTGTTTGGTATGAACAAAAACAATGATAAATAAATAAATGTAAATAAACATTAGTACGGATCAAAGTTTAAGGGCAATGATTATGAGAAGAAAACTAGAATGCATAATGTTTAAAACAGCAGAGGAAAAGTCAGTACAGTAAAAGCAATGCAGATAGGGAGAGGAAATTTTTTTTAAGCACAATAAATGAAAAATGTGATGACTGGGATATCTCCTACTCTACTCGTAATCACAATAAAGGTAACCTGCTAAACTCTCCAAATAAAGAACTGAAATTCTCAGGTTAGATCATAAAATAACGGAACACACACGTTGATTTCAAAAAACACCCTAAACACCCCCCCCCAAAAAACAACCCTGAAAATGAAAGGAAACAGAAAGATTACAAATAAAATACCTAACAGTCAGGGTACACTAGCTTTATTGCAGAAACAACATGAAAAGTTGAGAGTCTTAAAACTAATGTACGTTAAAAATGACGCAGATGATGAATTGTATGTGGTTCGAACATATTTACCATTTTTTAAATTATTTTTTTAAATGCCATTTGTCTTCCTCGGGCCAAAGGTCCAGCGCAGCTCAGCGGGAAGACTCTGCTTATTAAATAGAAGAACAGCAGTGGGAACCTTCTCAAAAATTCAAAGAATCAGGGACACCGAGATGGTTCAGTAGTTCAAGTACCTGCCTTTGAGTCAGGTCAGGGCCGTGTCCTGCGATGGATCCCGCCCAGAGCCGGCCCAGAGCCCCGCCTCCGCCCACTAAGCCCCGCCTCAGTCCAGCCTCAGCCCCAGAGTCTCTGGCCTATTGGGGACCCGCTGCGTGAGCCCCGGAAGCCTCCGGGCAGCCCGCCGCCCAGCCTGCGGCTCCGTTCTCGGCCTCTTTCTCTACCTCTCCCGTCTCCCTCCGCTTGTGCTCTCTCGCCGCTCTGTCAACTAGAAGAAGAGAAAATTGGAAGACTCCCGGAACAGTTTCTCCCGGACAGAGGTCGAGTGACACTTGTATGAACAGAAGTGTGCTCCTGCGGAAAGCCAGCGCCGGCCCCGGCCCGGCGACAGAAAGCACGCTCCGCTCCCCGGCCCGCGGGTTCCTTCAGAGGCCGCCCCAGACTTGGGGTCGAGATGCAGCCCCCTGCCGCCACCAGGTTCACACTGGGCCTCGCGGTCCTGCTGCTGCTGGTGCCCTGGGTCACGGCGGCGGCGGCCGGATCGGTCGTGGGCGCGGCGAGCAGCGGGCGAGAGACACGTGAGTCCCGGGCTTTGGGAACCTCGTCGCCCGCTGGGGCCGGCGTCCCGTCCTCAACCCCGCCACGGGCTCCTTTCCGCCGGGACTTTGTCGCCCTCTGGGACGGAAAGGAGGCGACCTGGGCGCCCCCGGACTGCCACCTCTGGGCGTGTGGCGCGCGGGGGAGGGGGAGGGGCGGCAAGGAGTCTGCGGTCGCCCCCAGCCCCCGCCTGCCCCTCGGGGAGCCGGAGCCCGAGCCTCTGAGCCCCGGGCTATGGGCAGGACAGGGCGATCCCGCAGGGCCTGGACCCCACACAACCCCGCGACTCGGCCACTCACGTCACTTCTCCATCCCCACTGCTGTCCACCGGTAGACTTCCCAGGGCACTTGAGTCAAGGTTCAAGGCACATGCAGCGCCAGGCCCTCCTTCACCAGCCACATCCCAGCACCACCCAGCTCAGGGTGGGCAGCTCTGATACCCCCTGACCAGAGACCTCCTGGCTACAGGTCCCTGGACCATACTGCAGCCTCTTACAGGCTCACTTTCCCTGCCTCGAGTGGCATTGCCTGGGTGGATCACAAGTTGGTGTCTCTGCCTAACGTTCCAATGTTAGGATGTGACAAAGGGCACAGAACATTTTCCTACAGTGTCACAGGGTCCTATGGCCCAAGAAGCAGGTCCAGCCGCTCGTTCATCCATATATTGTCTATGGCTGCTTCACTTTGCTAAGGCTCCAGATTCGAGTAGGTACGACAGAGACCTATGCAATATTAATATATACAGAGAACCTTTGCACCAGGCTGGCATTTCAATGAAAATAGGATAGGGTTCACAGCCCTGCATCCTTACAGAGGTTTTAGGGTTGGTACTCAACTCTGTCATTCCATCCAGGGTAGGGCACTGTTTTAACATTGTATTTGGAGAAAAGAGAAGACAGTGTGAGAATATTGTACTTGAATTTCCCTGCCCCCTAGCCCCCAACCCACTAGTAATTCAACTACAAACATTTTTCACTCCGGTAACAAATGTGGGGAGCGTGAAAGGACCGCTTCATGGGTGCCTGACCCAATGGTGTCACTGTGAACAGGACCTGGGGCAGATGACTTCTCATTCTCTGCAGCACCTCATGCCTTGCACCATTTCAATAACAGGGGCCATGATAACACTAGGATCCCTGAGGACGATGTCAGCTCACACACTAGGTCCACTGACAACGTCTGCATGGTCTCTGCTCCCCAGTGTAAACCTAGCCCTGCGAATGACCACATGACCCTTTGGGGAAGGCCAGTAGGAAGCATTGCTCTTGCTGTTGACCAGAAGGGTCCCTCCTGATTGGAAGCTGGCTTCTGCTTCTCCTAAAGGCTTCCAGCTCTGAGAAGTGGCTCAGGTCTGGAACCTGGGCAGAGGATCCAGACTCTCTGTTGGGTGTTTGCTTTCAGCCTCCTCCTCATCCATCCTGGGGCTTGGTCTTTGTTTGTTTGTATTGTTTAAATCGAGCAGCCTCTGGGTTGGCTGTCCAGCTATCTTGCCTCTAGGATCACTGTGTTCTGTGAGCCAAAGGGATGGAGAGCTTTCTGTGGGGCAGGCCCTGACCAGCATTCCAACCTCCAGGATTATTTCAATCATGGCTGCCTCCCGGCTCCTGACAGTTGAGCGCCTGTATCTCAACTCTCTTATTTCGGGATTTTTCAGCCCATTACTCCTGGGCCCCTATCTCTGCAACACCGTCTCCTACCGCCAAGCTGGGCCATCAGAGAGACGTCATTGAGCTTCTTGACAACGCGGGTGCTTTTCTCACGGTGTGGTCTTCGTGAGTGCCAGAAAGAGTCCTCCAGACCTCTCCGTGAGCAGAGTTGGAGGACATGTTTTTAGTTTTGTTTTACGCATTTCTTGCTATATCTGTTCTGTCAAAGGCTGAGGGATGCTGGTATCAGCCTGGTAGACACAGGGGCCTTTTCGATGGCTATGTGGTTTCCTGCCAGGCCGAGGCATCCTGATCCTCCTCAAACCCGGGAAGGGCGCCACCTCTACCGCTGGGGGGGGAGGGGCCGTGCAGGGACAGCTAGCCAGCCTGCCACACGTTCTAGTGCTGTCGCGTGCATGGCCGAGGGGGGCCTGCCGGTCATTGTCTTCCAACCCCAACCTCTACCTGTGCTTTCCCTTCGCAGATGCTCTCTCTCTTTCCTACAATTTCAACATCACATCTCGGGCCAGGCCTGGACAACCATGGTGTGAGATTCAAGGCCTGGTCAATGGAAACCAGTTTCTTTCTTACGACTGTCGGAGCAAGGAGGTCAAACCCGTTGGTCCTCTGGGGATGAAGCTGAAGGACACAGCGTTTTGGGAGAGACAAAAGGAAACCCTGGAAGACCTGGTGGAAGAGCTCAGAAGGAAACTGCTGGACATCAAAACAGGGATTTTCACTAAGAGCCGTAAGTCTGAAGGCCCAGGGCAGAAGGAGAACAGTTTGGTAGGGCCGGGGGCCTAGGGTGTTCATGTAAAACTTAGAAGTGGGTCCCACACACGCGGCCCAGCAGCCAGGGCCGACAAGGAGGACAGAGCAGGACCGGGAGGGCCGAAGGGGAGCTGAGGAGTGCACAGCAGGCGGGGCAAAGGATTGGTCAACACCAGAGGCTGACTTGTTCCCCGTGGTGGGGGCGGGGGGCAGATCCTCTCACCCTGCAGGGCAGGCTGGTGTATGAGTGTGGACCAGACAGACACCCCAGAGGATCCTGGCAGTTTGCCTTCAATGAGCAGATAACCCACCGCTTTGACCCGGAGACCGGAAATTGGACAATGGTGCCTCCTGAGGACCAGCGGTTCCAGGGCACGTTGGACAGTGACGGAGAGCTGACCGGCTTCCTCATGAGGATCTCAAACGGAGACTGTAAGGGCTGGCTCCAGCAAGTACTGGAGCACTGGGATGAAATGCTGGAGACAACAGGTAACTCAGAAGACTGGATGGAGCGCTGCTTCTCTTGAAATGAGCTCCACCTTCCCCACTGTGTGTGTGTGTGTGTGTAAATTACATACATGATGAGTTGTTCTTAGGAGTACAAGGGCCACTCGAATGTTCTAGCACCGTTCCTTTCCCTTCTGACCTCCTGGCACCTCTCCCTACTGCGTATACCTTCAGGCCTCTCACTGTGGGCTTCTTGCTGGCCCCAAACCTGAAGGCATCATTCTGTTTCCAGAGATTTACTTCTTCCTCTTCCCTTTTCTGAGCATAATTGTTTTTCATCTTGACTAGTCTCTTTCTTGAAAGCCTTCAATGCCACCTGAAATGTCAGCCTCTGACAAGATGCCTCTGTCAGCATCCATACGTATCCTTCCTCTTTTGTGACGGCAAGAGTGACTATCTACATGGAAACCCTTGCTTGCCCCATTAGCTGTATGATCTGCGTGAACCCACCCCCTCTCTCCTTTCCACCCCCAGGACCTGTCGCAGCAGCTGCCACAAACATGGTGGCAGGAGGATATCTGTGCTGTAGGATTACCTGGAGCAGCAGCAGCTAAGGACTCACCTCCCCCCCATTTTGGGGCTCCAGGCCAGGCTTTCACTATTGTGTTTCCATTTCAGGAGCACCAGCCACAACCCCAGGTGTAGTCCGAGTCAAAGGCACAGCCATCAGGCTGATCACCTCCATCCTCCCCGTGCTCCTCACGTGCTCAATCCTCCCTGGCATCCAAGGCAGACTCCTTTGAGTAACAGGTACTGTGGGCAGAACTGAAGTGAGAGGCAGATGGCCTGAGGTGAGCACAGAGAAAGGTGAATAGCCAGCCCTCCCCTTGGCCTATTGTGTGAACCTTCTCACCTGAAAATGAGACCAGATGCATAGGACTACACTAGCTTCTCCCAAGAAAGAGAATCATGAGGAGCTGTTGATGTAGATGTTGAGGTAGATAATTATTACAAGGGATCGGCTCACGATTATGGAGGAAAACCCAGTCTCACAATTCGCTGTCTGTGAGCTGGAGAAACAGGAAGCTGGTGGTGGGGTTCCAGTGCCCACCTGAAAGCCTGAGAATCAGGGCATCCGTGGTGTGAGTCTAGGTCCTGGTCCGAGGAACCAAACACCAGGAGTGCCAATGACCAATGTCTGAGGGCAGGAGAAGGATGGCCCCGCCAAACTGAGAGCAAAGTCACCTTTCCTCTACCTTTTTTTCCATTCGGGCCCTCATGGATTGGATGAGGACAGTCCTCTTTACTCAGTCTACTGATTCAAATGCTCATCTCCTCCAGAAACATCCTCTAGACAGACCCAGAAAGAATGTTTTCCCAGCTATTGGGGCACCCCTTAGCCCAGTCAAGTTGACCTATAAAAGGAGCCAGGACCGAGAACTTACATTGCTTGATAGCAATTACCTAGGCAAGCTTAGCCTTGAATTCTGATAGCGCCTCACTGTCAAAGGCCAGTGGGAAAGCACAGGGGCCCACCCCAAGCTTTATGTCCTGTCGATGCTAAAGGGATTGAACAAAATCAGACCTGGCTCAGAGCAGCTTTGCACTTGGGGAGGTGCCCATGTGAGGGGTGGTGTGGGGACAGGAGGAACACGGGGCATGGACAATACTCTGGCTTGAGTGAGAGTGGCAGGTGCCTGCACATGATGTGTCCTAGGGATGGGGGACCTCTCCGTGGTGCGTGCAGGAGAGGGGTCAGAGTCTGAACCAAAGAAGAGGGGTGGGAAGGCCTTTGTAGACCCAACCAAAGGCTGGCGTTCAGGGCTCTGCTCCCACACAACTCTCCTTGGGTGCTGGCAGGTAAGACAGAGGCCAGAGGGAGAGACTCTCCAGGATGAGATTAGAAGGCCAGAGCTCCTTGGACCCCTGGGATACCTGGCTCGGGCCTGGTGCTCTCACCTGGCAGCTAGTCTCCTGCAGAGCCCAGAGCCCAAGCCAGCTGAACCGCCCCTGCCTTGAGCAGGAGGTGCCTCAGGAGGTAGGTGGGATTGAGCAGCTGTTGGAATTGGATGCTGTCACCTGAACTGGACCAGGAAAGAATGAGGCAGGGCAAGGACAGTCACACTCAGAACTTGTGTTAGGCTACCAGGGTGAGGAGAGGCTGAAGACAAGGGAAGATGGATTTGTGTCTAAAACCCTCTCCAATGATACAGGAACCAGGATCCAGGTCCCTCTCTTTGAGTAGGGCTCCTAGCTCCTCCTTTATGGCTTCTGATCAAAGGGTGGGTCAAGCTCTAAGGAAAGGAAACAGAGGATTCATTCCTGAGGCTTTAGTCTTCAGTCCCACTGTTCAGCCTGGAGCTGACTCTGTGTTGTGCTAATGAGGGAAGAGTATGTTCAGGCTCTGGACCCAGGGGTTGGGGAGGTGTGGGGGTGATGCATGACCATCACACAGTGAGGGCAGATCTTTGAGATAGGGAGTGACTGCAGGGGAGTCTGGGGGAGGGCAGGAGGACTGACCCAGGATTTCCTCAGCCACTGGAACAAGCTCCTGTTTCTCTTTTAGGGGCTGAAGGTGCTACAAGAAGCCCCTGAGGATGTGCTCTCATTCACCCACTCTCCCCTTGCACTTGTGGTTCAGTGGTAGAATTCTCGCCTGCCACCCACTCTCCCCTCTGGTGGGTGGCCTTTCTTCCACCTGCTGTTCATGTCAACCAACGGGAGCTTCAATCCCTGTGGCAAAGCAAGAATCCTCCAGATCATCATGATTATGGAGGAGATGGAACATTTCATTGCCTTCATTCCGGTCATGATAATCCTTCTCTGCACTTTTTCTTAACATTAATGCTATTTTCTGTTGGTGCTCACTGTTGGGATTCCTGCACTTTGCCTTCTAACTGGTTGAACAAGAATTCTGCACAAAGAGACTATTATGCAACTTCTCCTTTGGTATTGGAAATGAGATACTTGTCAGCGTCATGATCCTGTTCATTGTTAAAAAAATACTATATGACATTAGAGAACCTTGGGGATTCTTTCCTTTGAGACACAACCTCAAGTCTTTTAAATAAAACAGTATTAGAGAGGGGAGCTAAGGTGGCGGAGTAGTAGGAGGACCCTAGGCTTCCCTCATCCCTCGAACACGGCTAGATAAATCTCAAATCATTCTGAACACCCAAGACAGCGATCTGAGGACTGACAGAACAAACTACATAACGAGAGGGAGAGAAGAGGTCACATCGTGGAAGGTGGGAGTTGCGGAGGTGTGATCTGGGGGAGAAAAGCATTGCAGGTGCTGCAGAGGGGAGGGAGCCCTGGTTACGGAGACAAGTGATAGAGAGAGAGAGAGAGGCAGAGGGAAAGAGGCGCACACAGGGGGTCGCACAAGGAAAACACTTCCCCAAAGCCACTGACTGGGAAAACGAGATGAGTTGATGATAGTGAGTTTTTACAACCAGCAGAGCTCAAAGGCTGGAGTTTTAGAAGCCTGCGGCGTGGCTGGTCTGGAGCCTGACAGGTATAGCGGTGGTTCTGTGGAGAAGGAGGGCAGATAACCCGGAAGGTGACGGAAGGTGACGGTGTAATCTGAGGATCTCCTGGGACACACTGGGAAAGAGGGTTCTCGCTTCTTAGAGAGCATCTGGGAGAAGTGGCACTGTCTCTGAGGGGACAAAAGAGCCTGGAGTTTGGAGTAAAGTGCAGCCAAAAGCCAGCGTCAAGGTTAGTGGCCCTCAGGAGGTGTCTCTGTCACTAGGCTAAGGGGCAGGGGAGCACAATGGTGTGGCTTCCTTTCTGGGATAGGCTTCATCAGTCCCAGCATGGGAGACCCTCCCCCAAGGGATCAGCTGCCACGCCAGGTCCCTAAAGTTTGTAGTTTTGAAACTTGGCCGGTGTGCCTGGCATAGAATACAGGTGCACTGCCCTGCTTGGAGGGGGGGGGGCAGACAGCCTGGACACTGACAAGGTGAAGGCAGGGGTCTGAGGGATGCCCGGGACACACGAGGGGAGATTGTTCACTCTTCTGCGAGGGCTTCCCAGACAGGGGCAGTGCAAAGTCCCTTCTTTGGGGAGGAGGGAGTGGGCTGAAGCCATTTTTACCCCCCACCCATCAGCGGGGACTGACTTCAGGGAGCAGCGCGGTGGAGGCCTGAGCCCCTTACACCTCACCCCACCCCTGCACTCTGCAGGTGCTTCTTCACAGGGCAAGTGTGCCTGAGAACCAGAGCCGCGGGCCCCCTGCTAGAACCAGCACAAACCCCCACACGCACCAAGTCTACTGACCCTCGAGGGCTGTAAACTTCAGCTCTAGTGGAAATAGCAGGAGGTCCCTTTAACAAGTAGACCTAAGCACACGCAGTTAAAAGTTAAAACAGACTCTGGCCAAGGTCCAAACACTCCCCACTGCAGGCAAGGAGAAACTCAGCCGAAGCCTGACTTGAGGGAGAGAGCAGTCAAACCACGGCCGCAGAGGGCACCGGGCACACCCCAGAGACACCGCCTCAAGCTCCCGGGGCCGGGGCCGAACAGGATATTACCTCCTCTTTATAAAGCCATTTCTCTCAGGAGCAGGTAACATAACAGGTTTCCTTTCCTTTGTTTTTGTTTTTGTTTGTTTTTTTTGATTATACATGTATTTAATGTCATTTTATTTTTTCTTCATTTTTTAATTTAAATTCAATTAGTTAACATACAGTGTATTATTAGTTTCAGACATAATTTAGTGATTCATCAGCTGCATATAATACCCAGTTCTCATTACATCACATGCCCTCCTTAATGCCCATCACCCAGTTACCCCATCCCCCACCACCATCCCCTCCAGCAACCCTCAGTCTCCTATGATTAAGAGTCTCTTAATAGTTTGTCTCCCTCTCTGATTTCCCTTATTTTATTTTTCCCTTGCCTTCCCCTTTGATTAGATTTTAGTTCTTTTATTTCTCCAGAAAGGGATTCTCTAGTGTCTTCTATGCTTTTTTTAAACCCAACTAAGTGTCTTTTTCATCCTTATTCTGAACTCTAGTTCTGACATATGACTTATATCCATGCTGATTAGGTCCCTGGCAGTCAGTACTGCCTCTCGTTCTCTTTTCTGAGGTGAGTTTTTCCGTCTTGTCCTTCTGTCCAGAGAAGAATAGATGAACAAGAGAACAAAGTACTAAAATGGCAACAATGATCCAAAAATATGGAACTCTTCATGAATTTGCACGTCATCCTTGTGCAGGGGCTATGCTAACCTTCTCTCTATTGTTCCAATTTTAGTATATGTGCTGCTGAAGCAAATACCAGGTTGATATTCTTACTCTGGACTCAGTTGTGAGGACTCACAGAAGGGAAGAGAGGATGATTAATTTAGTCTGGGGATGTGGGATGGTTAATTTTGTCTGACCACTTAGTATTTTGGATGAAATTAACATTTAAATTGGTGAACTTCAAGTAAAGGAAAATGTCCTCCAGGACATTGCTGGGCCTTGTCAAATCAGTTGAAGGCCTAAAGAGAACAAGAAGAATGACTTCCCCCCAGAAAGAGGGAATTCTCCCACAGACTGCCTTCAGATTCCGTCTGCACCATTGAGTCTCCTGGGCATCAGTATGCTGGCCCACACTGCAGATGTCGAGTTGATGGCCTCCACAGGCACATGAGTCGATCCCTTATTATCTCTCTGCCTGTCTACACGTCATACTGGTTCTATTTCTCTGGAGAAGTCTGACTAAAAAGAGGGGTAAGGAAGATTAATGGCAGGTGATATTTGTGCCCAGCTTTCACGGGGCACTGGCTGTTGGCCCGTGTGATCCAGAACATCTGACAGAGGAAGATTCTAGAACAGAAAGCCTGGAGGCTGATGGTGAGAACCTTAGGGTTTTGGAGAGGAAGAGATTTCAGGAGGCGAAATGGGCCAAGGAGGTTGTGTGGGAAATCCCTTAGCAGTCATGAGTTTCAAGCAGAAAAATCATTGGGAACACATTGTCCACAGAAGGCTTAGGGGGTGATTCAGTTGCCTGCCATCTCCACCAAAGTGAGGGTCGGGGTCTGTAGAGATTAAGTGTGCGCACGTCCCAATTCCAGTCCTCAGCTGCTCTCCTCTCTAGAAGGGCCTGGGCTGACCATGCTGATGAGGTAGAGGAGGGAGAGGCTGCCGAAGGCTGGAGCACAGAGAGGGAGAAGGAAACAAAGAAGGAGGACCTGCCTTTAAAAAAATGACCAGGAGCTTTTTGGAGTCATTTACCTTGTTACATCAAATTCTGAAATTGAAGTATTTCTTATGTCCCCATTTTTCAGAACCATACAAATTTTTGAAACAAGCCTAAACTTCTAAAGACGTTGTAAGTCTTGTACCAAACACTTTTCTTCCTGAACCGTATGACAGTGAGCTGTCACACTGATGTCCTCCCAGTTTCCGTGATGTCCTCTGACACCACACACTTTAGGATGTATTTCCCACAAACCAGGACATTCTCCTGGGTCACCATCATCTCCTAGTAGGTCTCACAGTACCTGAATGCCTCCTCGTCCTCAAACTCTGCTTCAAGTTGTTCCAGCAATGCCCAATACGGTCAAAGAGATCAATGGACATAGGTGTTTTCCATTTCCTGGATGTGCTGAAGATGACGGTTTTGGTTGATTTGTTTAATTTTTAAATGTAGGTGAAGAGATTTAGATTTAGGAGGCCACTGTGAGTGTATGTTGTCCAGAATTTCTCAAATATATATTTGAAAGCTTTGTTCATCTGGTGTTTTGACCCATCTTTTTTTTTTTTTTAAAGATTTTATTTATTTATTTGACAGAGAGAGACACAGCGAGAGAGGGAACACAAGCAGGGGGAGTGGGAGAGGGAGAAGCAGGCTTCCCGCCAAGCAGGGAGCCCGATGCGGGGCTCGATCCCAGGACCCTGGGATCATGACCTGAGCCGAAGGCAGACGCTTAACGACTGAGCCACCCAGGCGCCCCGACCCATCTTTGTGTCATTTTTTGACAGTAGTTCAGATTACTTAGTCTTAAATAGAGAGAAATTGAAATCTCCTAACATATTTATATATTGTACATCAGCTGGATATATTACTAAGTTTTTGCTATGACACATAGCCCTACAGTAAACAACCATACATCTCCATTGCTTTTTGGTTCCCATGTGTTTCTAGCCTGAAACTAACACCAGGATTACCATGCAGTAGGATGAACACATCAACCATTGTCTGGATAGGATGAAATATAGGGCAAATGAGTGATTACATTTAAACTCCTACCAACAAGTGAGAAAACTCATTATTCCATTTCCTGGTCAGCACTTGCTATAGCTATGTTTAAAATTTTGTCAGTTTGATGTGTGTGTAAGGCATCCTGTTGTTCTTCTTTATCTTGATTATTTGGGATATGTTCAATGATTTCATAGGCTGATTTACCATCTGTTGCCTGCTCTAAGCATTTGCACAAATCTTAGGAGAACTACACTTCTTATTTATTCACAGGAGCTCTTTGTATATATTGGATACCGATCCTTTGTTCAGAGGGGAATAGATCAACTGTTAGAAGCAGATCTGTTTCTGCTGTGAAGACTCACTGTGCACTGAAGGAGGATGACAGGAGAGACAGTGCTGTGGTGGGGGACCTAGGGAAATCAGGAAGATTCTCAATTGCTTCATTCCCAGAATATCTGTTAAATGCCGACATGTCAGGATCATATTTGACACTGACAGATGACTGCCTGAAGGTTGACTTCTGAGTGATCTTTAAATTCTTTGTCTCCACAAGAAATCTAGCAGAATCACACTTATATTTACCCCATACAGTGGAGGAAAAACAAAATTCCATGAGTTCTTATGGGATATAAAACAAATTCCAGATTAATTAAATATTTTATAAGAGATATGCTTCTTTAGATATATGTATATGGAAATAAATTGCTGAAGAAAATAATCACATTATATATTTTTTAAAGATTTTTTTATTCATTTTTGAGAGAGAGAGAGAGTGTGAAAACAAGCAGGGGAAACGCAGAGGGAGAAACACACTCCCCACTGAGCAGGGAACCAGAAACAGGACTCCATCC